AGCTGCAGCTAGCCTGTGAGGCATTAAATAGATTAATGTCTTTCTGCAACCATGGAGAACAATTTAATTTTTCTTTGTGATCATGAAGCTGCAATATGTTTTATTCTTTCTTTCCTGTCAAAGGAAAGAATATCTTCCAGGGAAAAAAAAAATATCCCTGTGGCTTGATCTGACTCATCTGTGAGGTCATTTTTGTTTATCTTCAAACGAAACAGCTGACAATCCCTAAAAGCTGATCAGTGATCCACACTTTTAAGGAAAACTATCCACACCCTTTAAAAATTTCTACATTTTCCACAAAACAGAAAGCTTTGATGCATTTCAGTAGGATTCTAAGCAACGGAAAAACACAAAGTGGTGTATATTTGTCAAGTTGAAAGAAAACTATGCATAGCTTTCCATATGATATCCATTTCTATGCGGCCCTCTTTACTCTGCTACAACTAAAGAAAACCAAGCTCAACCAACTATCTTGGGATGTCATCTAATCTGTAAACATTCCAATGTAGCTATGAAGAATCTAATCCTACCATGTAAATGGTATATGTAATATACGGTATAAATGTAATCCACAGTGTCCTAATACCTTCTCTGTTGTATGAATGAATCTGAATGAATGAATCCCAGAAAAAAAGGTAGACAACTCAAACCCTAATTTTTCTCCTCACAGTGTTGGAGTACTAATTCAAAAGGCTAAAAGATTAGATTAGATTAGATTAGATTTTTTAAAACTACTATAATTAGCTATGATCTAAGGGTCTATGGAGATAGAAGAGTCTCACTATTAAAACTCTTCTAGCTCAATAATGGTGGGCTGCTCACTGTGATCAGGACAATCTTGAAGAAAAAAGGTCCTGAAATCGAACACAGATGCATGTTTTCCACTTGCAATTGTAGATTCTTTCTGAAAAATCAAACAATGGGTCATCCTTGGGATGCTTTTATAGTTTAAATGGATTAGGTGATCTAAATTTCATTGACTGGACATGATTAGGCAGCCTTACACTTTTAGGGACCAACTTAGCGTCCCATATCTAACGCTGCATGTCAGAGCAGAAATAGACTGTTGTTTTCCTCTCTTTCGGTGCCTCTAAGCAGCTGCGCAAATTGCACAAATTGTAATTGTGAAAAGTAATTTGTTGAATAAAAACACAGCATTGTCGAAAATACTCAAGTTTTTACATTTTTATTAGATAGTTCTATCGAAATTCTTATGTTTTGCAAAACTACAATGAAAACATTTTCTTTTTGTATCACATGAGTCACGTGATCTCCAACCGGACCAATACTTTGTGCCTTGTAAAAATACGAAAGGAAGAAGTAGTTGGAGGATGATGGCGCCCTCTAGAGCTGTGGCTGAAATATGGATATTGTGTTTACATCCTCTGCTGCCATGTTTTTTTCAAGAGTTATCTTTTGAACAAGGTATTCACATGTACTCTTACCTTTATTTGTTATGTAATGGAAATTACCACAATTGCGAAAATTAGCATTTACAAATTAGCAGAATGTTGTAGTGGAAATGCATCTACTATAGATTTTAATGGGGGATCTAATTATATTTTGGTCCTTGATATTTTTTCTTTACGTAACTTTTTGATTGGGTTCAAAAGCAACTTAATTTTGCTGAGTGTGAAATTTTTTGTTCAGTTTTATTGATAGCTATCTTAGATTTTGTTACACAGTAAAATTAACAGTTAAACTCCAAATCGTTACTCTTTAGAGATAGAAAGAAAGAAGATTATTGTCTTTTTTTATTGCAATATGTAATTTATAACTGACATTTCTTTGTTCAAGTGTTGGTGAAGGGTAATGGGGGTGTAATGAATGCAGTGAAACATTCATGTAAACCAAAGGGAGGAGCAACAATACAAGTTTAGGAATCAGTGGAGCTAATCGATCCACATGTCCTTCCCTTAAGTTTTTAATCACCATATTATCCTTCAATTTCTGTCAGGCTTGACTCCTTTACCCTGGCAGCCTAATCTTCAGAAGCTCTCCCAATCAACCTTGGGAGGACAGGGCTTAATTTGTTCCTGCTTATTTTGGATCTAGCAATTGCATTGCTAGAACAGGAAACTTCTAGCTGTTGAAGACTCCATCTTAAACAACAACGCTAATAAACCTTTATGAAAGGTTTAAGTCATTTTTGGAACATGTCTCAGGTCAGTCTTTGCCGTCAGAGTTATTACACTAATGAATGCTATATGTTTTAGATTTGTCTTGTTAAAATACATAATGTTCTACACTACTTTTATGTTGTTCCTTCCCTGAAATCCCCAAAATCACATTAAAATTTGTTGTTGCAAAGAATGTACCTAAATACTTGGTGCACTGTGAAACATCAACCTTTAAAACATTTTGACATATGGCCCTTCTTAAGTCTGACAAGTGGACCCTGGATAGAAAAAAAATAGAAATATCTATTGCAATAAAGGATTCAGGTCATGAAGATAATCTCCTTTAAGTCAAAAGCCATGGTTCCTGCCTCAAGTAAAGGAGTTAAAGTATCTTGGAATCCTGTTCACGAGTGAGGGTGAAACAGAGCTGGAGATTGATAGATGAATTAGTGTAGCTGCTGCTATAATGTAGACGCTGCACTGGTCTGTTATGGTAAAGAGAGGCCTGAGCCAGAAGGCACAGCTTTTGATTTGCCAGTCGGTCTGCATTCCTACCTTCATCTACTGTAAGGTCAATCTAGATCATGACAGAAAGAGTGAGAGCCCGGATACAAGCAGTCAAAATTAGCTTCTTTTGCAGGGTCGCTGGGTATTCCCTCAGAGATAAGGTAAGGAGCTCAATCATCCAGGAAGGGCTTGGATAGATGCGCTTCCCCTCCATATCGAAAGCATTCAGCTGAGGCGGCTTAACATCTTTTTCAGGTGCCCCCGAATGCCGCCCCCTGTAGTTGGTCCAGGAACATCCCACAGGGAGGAGGCTCAGGGTATGGCCCAAGAAACACTCAGCTGTTCTTTGGGTTTCCCCCAGAGGAGCTGGAGAAGGTGTCTGGGAAGAGAGAAGTCAGTGACTCTCTGCTGAGACTGCGGCCTCCATGACCCTTTCAGCTATGCATGCAGATTCACACAAGGGTAAAAAATATAAAAACCCCAAAAGACAAAAGAAAATCCTGTGCAGTTATTTTAAAAAAATACACACTGAAAACTTTAAAAAGTGTGCAAATAAGTTGGATTATTTGAATAGGTTGTATTATGTAAGAATATACAAATGCATTTAACCTAATGAGTATTTATATAATGAAACAAAGGGGGGCAATAAACCGCAGGGACCTTTTGAGCTTATTTGGAGCAGCAATTGCGATAAGTCTAAAAGCTGGCAGGAGGAAGGATATGTGTCATGATTTTATCCAAAGATCTGACCCACATGCAGAAAGACAAACAGAGAGACCAGGGGAAGGTTTAACAGGTTTATTGTGAGTTGGTAGAGAGGAGTCGAGTGCTGCTCTGAACACTGGCGAACCGGGAGTTTCCAGAAAAAGGTGTCTTTCGTTGAATCCAGTCGGTGTGGGTTGTTCCAGTAATAGACTTGTTCGTTGGAGGGCGGACAGGGTTTAACCAGGTTGAGGTGTTTCCTTGAGGAACGGAGGAACTGACTGCCACTTAGATTTCCTGCGGTACTTGAACGGTTTCTTGTAGATATGAATCCCCTGCTCAGAGAGAAGCCCAAACAATCATTTGGAGGAAAAGAAGATTCAAAGCACCAGTTTGAATCCTCAGCTCAGTTTGATGCTCAGAGAATCCTTCCAGGGGGGAGAAGGTCCAAAACATCCAGTTTGAAGGATGACTTCCTACCGAGAGGCAAAGACAAAAAACAACAAGGTTAAGACTCAGGTGACAAAAACTCAGTTTGACTCGACAAAACTCAGCTTGGCTAGAGTACCCAAAACTGGCAAACACTCTGGCGTTGAGGTAGTGGCAGTCAGCAGCTTAAGAGTCCTCCGGTGATGAGGAAAACATCCGCAGGTGTGTGAGAAGGCCAACGAGAACCAGGCGCCACCTGGTGGTGGAGAAAAACAAACAAAAAACACAACCCACACAAACTGGATTCCTAACAATATGAGATAATGCTCCTTAGTGTACCTACAGTATGCAGCAGTTTGTCACTGAAGGGACTCTCCATCTCTGCAACTGCTTCATGCATGGGGTGGGAGACACTTCCCACCACCTACACTGGGTCAAGGGGGCATCCTGAGAAACAGGGACCCTCTCTGATAAAGTTCTCTAAGCACTTCCTCTCCGTTTTAGATAATTACTAATCTTACCACTTGAGGGGGCTTTGGCCTAACTGACCTATGTTTTTCAACCCTCGTCCTCAAAACCCACTGAAACCCTTGATGGTTGCTAATAAGATAATGTTGTTTGATCTATGACTCTGAATTACATCCATGTTCTTTGTTGAGTCTCACCTTGTGCAACAAAGTGTTGATGGACATAGCCTGCAGGTCATAGCGGAGTCAGCTGTAGCGGTGCTAGGGGAACCCCTGGCCTCAGCAGTTGTACACACCTACTGTTAGGATTATTTCTATTATTCATGTATCATGAGCTTGGATTATAACTGGTATTCTGGGCCGACTTTCTGAAGAAGCGAGCACGGTGGTAAGAGCTGCCATCCGTAACCAGAACCATTTATCTGGTCTGAGTAGGATAACATTTTGTGTCAAAATCTGTTGACATGTCTCATAGTAATTTAATACATAAACCTTATAAAGAGTTATAAGATTTATGTATTAAATAAACCTTATAAAGAGTTATTTAAACTGGTTGTTCCAAATGATCTCTTCTCAGGTATGAATCAGGGAGAGGAACTTAAATATAGAGCTTTCCTTTACAATACTAAAAAGCTAACATGACTGCGTGCCACACTGTCACATGAGCAGCAAACAGTCAAAATAAAAGACTGGCATCTCATTAGCACCATATTGAGAAGGACAGAGGGAGGGACAGAAAGTGATATTTCAGGAGGGGGGATTCTTCCAGCTGTTGTTTCCAGTGAAACAGTGGGTGAGGCAGAAGAGGTGGATAACCTGATAAAGAGACAGTGAGTTGGAGAAGCACATTTTCGAGAAAAAAAAAAGATGAAAAGTTGATGTTTGACTGAGTTTGAGCCAGAGCTGCAGCTTAAAGAGAAGGTGAACAGTGAGGTAGGTCTTTTTTCTGTTTATTTCCCCCAACCCACCGGCCAATTAGAATGTAAGAGTATTTCTTTTATGAAATACTATAATTTCTTTGATTTAGGGTCCTCTCTCAACTCTCTACAGCTACACACCCACTTCTAGATCAGCAATGTTGGTGTGTGTGTGACTTTAAACAGCAAAGGAAAAGTGGGTCAGGGAGAGAGAATAGAGGTGGGGAAGCAGGCTGGGTGAGGTAGGGGGAGAGACGGACATGGAGCAGCTCTTGAAGTACAGTAACAAGTGGTCACTTGAGTAATCACTGGTGATTCAGGGAGACATGTAAGTGATGGTTGCTTCCAGGCATGACTGCTCAGCTGTCACTTTTAGCTTTTTTTTCTTACTTGGCTAGAGCGATTTTTCTAGAATGTTAGATGAGGAATTTAAGTAAGAACTGCAGAGTCCTGTTTCAAACTTGTTCATATCTGCTGTTATCTGCATGGACCACAATAACAGGACTCTAGTTGGAGCTAATTACTGGTTAAACTTGCATTAAAAGCAATTATTTGCTGCTAATATAAACATAAAAATGGATAAAAGTTCTGAAATGAGGCCTACTTTTAAGCTTGTAGAGTGTTATGATTCTGTTTGCGACTTCTCTGTTATTGAGCCAGCAATGTGTTAACACAAAGATAGAAATAGGCATTAACATGACTGTCCTTTGCATGTCTCTGCATGCACCATGTCCCCGTTCCTCTTCTTTTAACTTTCTCTTATGCTGTGGAAATGTTTTTCCATGCTGTCACTTCCTCCTGCCTCCATCCGACTTCAGATACGGCCTCCTGTTGATGATCAGTGTCCTGAATGGCAGGAGCAGTCAAAGTTGGAGAGAGTTAGGCCTTGTGTTAGAGCAACGGGAAAGATGACCTTTCCCTGCTGTTTATTTTAGGAAGGCTAGAGGAAGAAATGCTGGGGCAGCTGTTCTATTCCTGCCGGCAGATCCCACCCCAGTGAATTCCAGCCTTGCCTGAAACAACGCTTTCCTTCCTCGCAGTGAGGAGGGGGGTGTGTGACTTGAGTAGTGTAAATATGACTGTTGGATCAAAGCGGTAATGGAAAGAAAAGTTTGGACTGACGCATTGGAGGAACCGTTTAGGAGGAAATGGGCCTGTGTGTACCTGCACATGTCTATTTCTCAACCTGTTATATAAAATTAAGTGTCATGATTTAATTCTAAGATCTGACCCACATGCAGGAAACCAAGTTCCTGTGGTTAGTTCAGGCTCAGTGGGAGATTAGAGCTTCGATTTGCAAAAGGGAATAAATGCAACGGGACTCACGTTTCCAGTAAAAGGTGTCTTTCTCTGAATCCAGTTGGTGTGGGTTGTTCCAGTAATTGAGTTGCTCGTTGGAGGGCGGACAGGGTTTACCCAGGTTGAGGTGTTTCCTTAAGGAACGGAGGAGCTGACTGCCACTTAGATTTCCAATGGTACTTGAACTGTTTCTTATGGAGATGAATCCCCTGCATAGAGTGTAGCTCAAACAATCCCTTGGGGAAAAGTAGATCCAAACCTCCAGTTTGAATCACCAGCTCAGTTTGAAGCTCAGACAATTCTTCCAGGGGGAGAAGGTCCAAAACATCCAGTTTGCAGGGTGACTTCCTGCCGAGAGGCGAAGACAAAAAACTATGTTAAAACTCAGTTTGACTCAGCAAAACTCAGCTTGGCTAGAGTACCCAAAACTGCCAAACACTCTGGCATCGAGGTAGTGGCAGTCAGCAGCTTAATAGTCCTCCGGTAATGAGGCAACCATCCGCAGGTGTGTGAGAAGGCCAACGAGAATCAGGCGCCACCTGGTGGTGGAAGAACAACAAACAAAAACACAACCCACATAAACTGGATTCCTAACATTAAGCTTCATCTGCTGCTAATAAAGCCATGTTATCTTGTTGGTTGTTTCTCCAAAAAAGCCTATATTTTTGTTTTTTTGAATCGCCCCATAACCCCTTGATTTCATGAGACGTTAATCTGCATATTCAATAAAGATAAAGTAAACAACAAAAACTAATACAACAATACATGCAGCGCATGGGATTTAAGTGGATTCTGAGTGGATCTTGAGCCACCATCGCTCAGTACATAACAATAAATATATTATGTACCGAGCAATGGTGGTTCAGGAGGTAGGGGTTCATCCTGTAACCAATGGATTATCGCTTCAACGCTTCCTCGCTGTGTGTCTCATCATGTCCATGGACTTTACCCACCCCACCTGCAGTTGGTACTCGGAGCGCCAGGTTGCGTCTAGCATATGGCTGCCTTGCTTATGTCAGTGAGCCCCAGGGCAGCTGTGGCTACAAAGAAGCTTACTACTATCAGGGTGTGAACATGTGTGAGACCGGGCGAACGACTAATGTGAAGCACTTTAAAGTTTTGAAGTCCTTGGACTTGAAAAAGCGGTATTCAAGTGCAGGCCGTCTGTGTTTTGTCAATTATTGTCCTTTGTTTTATCAAAGTTTATTTACAATAACTAATATCAATTCATATATTGTTATTTTTTCTGTAGATTTTGCCATGTTTGCAAGGAAAATGCATTTGTAGGTTTCTCTCAAAGAAAAAAGTCAAATCATTCTTATTTGTGGTTAAATAATAAAGTTTTTGGCCTGTTTAAAGTATGTTTTATTTTCTGACTCTGAGTTTTGTTTACGAATCAATTATGCTGATATGTATTGACCCTGAGTGACCTCAACTACAAAGACAATGTGTTTTTTTATTAAGCTCAGTTTGCATGGAATTTCTGTTTCCCACCAATGTTATTGGTAAAACAGTTTTGAAGCATATTTGGTTTTTTCCGCTTGCTGCCATATCTCCTCCTCTGTTGGTGTCATAATCCAGTTTGTGCTCCTCTTCCCGATAAACAAGAGAAGGGGTTTCTGTTTGTGCTTTAAAGTGAATTGTGTCCAATGGATAAAATTGGTTAAAACCCACTCAGTGCTGCCTTCTCAACAGCACCATCCAAACGGCAGACTTGTAACATAATCCCAAGGATGCGCTTGGGTAGATCGTATATTCCAATCAACCTAGTGCATGACAGTCAACCTCACTTTTTATTTTACTGTATTTATTTTGGCATTAACCTTCATAAAATGACTATGTTCGCTATAAAGTGAAGTCAACATTCTTTAATAGCAATGTCATGTTAAATGTCAAAAACCTAATCTTCATTTGGTAAAAAGGACACAGGTCATTAAGCTACAACTTCAAACCTCATATCTCTTTTGAACAGTTTCAAGAGGCTTCAGATTCCTCACTGCCATAACTAAGATTGGGTAAACTCTAGACACTAGAATTCCTAAGTTTATGTTGTTATATTTGAAGTGTGGCAAGGCGTTATTTTATTGTGTTTGCTCACTGAATTCTATATGTGAGGGAACCCACACAGTCAGAGGCAGGCAGACACAGGGAAAGGTCTCTGCTCTTTCCTGTAAAGAGAAGGTACATTTCCTCCTCAAATCTTTGTTCCTAAATGGTAAACTCTTAATGGGTGCCATGATGCACTTCAATGAGTTTAAATTCATCACACCTAAAATCTCACTTATAATTTTAAACTTCTGCATAAGTGGAGCTCACACAAAAGTTTAACTGAACAAGTTTCTCCACAATGCTGCAAGTATTGATTGTAAAGCAAATGGAATGAAATGATGGTGTGTTTCATAGAGTGTGAATTAGCTTAGGGAAAACATGGCACTGTCTGACAAAAACATAAACAGATGTTTGCTTTCTACAACAGAGGCATTCCTAGTAATGGCGAGTCTACCAAAGGAACCCCTTGATGATCCCAAGAAGCAGAGCTTTTGGATGGTGAAGATCACTTCTATCAAAGCACTATATTTTTGGTTGACTCTCAGATGTGATCATGATATGTAAAACGCTATGATCCTTGTTTCCACCCAGCCAGGTAACTATGTGCGTACAGTGCACAGAACGGACCAATCCTTTCAGGCTTGCAATGACATCATGGCCTGCTTCATGGAGAGAGCGAAGGTGGAAAAACAGTATGCCCAGCAGCTCAGCCAGTGGAGCAGCAAGTGGAAATCCATCATTGATTCTCGTGAGTAGGAGTAAAGCGTGTGTTTGGAGTGATTACTTGCTCAAATATGCCCACATGCACCAACACACGTGGATTGGTTGGGTAAACTCCCATTAACCCTTTAAGCATCCTGCAGAGGGTGTAGATCTGGTTCACTTTAGCCAGAATAAAAACCACACTGCTTCTCTTGAAGCCAAGGTTAGACAACCAGCTGGACTCTCCTCTCCAGCACCCTGGCATGGGCCTTCCAGAGGAGGCTGAAAAATGTGATCTGTCTGTAGTTGGAACACACCCACCAGTTATAAGTCTCTAAGTCTCTGCTTTCACCAGGAAAGGCCTGAAAGCAGTCATCTAAGTAGTTCTTCCACTGTCTGACAGTATCCTTTTCAAGGTCAGTAGCTTCCCACTCACACTGTAAACAGTGTCAGTAAAGCATTGCATTCCTCTCTAGAGGTACCTGACAGTTTGTAAAAATCCCCTTGAACCTATGCCAAAGTTTTTGCTTCTGCAATTTCCCTAGGCTGTGATATGTTTTGCTTCATAATAACTGTTTGCTGCTTAAGGAGGCTCAAACATCAAAAAGTGTCAGTAGCACTTCTTCTTTAGCCTAACTACATCTCCTACCACCAGTGTCTATCAATGGCTTGGGGGAGCCACCGTGACAAGCTCCTAAAAAGACCTTATGGTCTGTTAGCAAAGTGGGGCTGCATTCACGGTACAGGCAGAGTTTATGGTCCTCTTAGATGCCATGTCCTTAGCCTCCACCTGGAGCTCTCCTAGTGGTGGGAGCCAAACACGTCCCTGACCAAGACCTCCACTAGATGTCACTCATCACATGCTTGGACCTGATAAGTCTGTCTGGTTTCCTCCTTTTCCATCATATCTTATTCACCAACAGTTGGTGATCAGTGGATAGATCCCCCCCTTCCTTTTTCAAGGAAACCCAACCTCCAGGTGCTCGTTGGTGAACCCAAACCCTAAGCCTGGCTCCAGGTTGAAGTTCCAGCTCCAGTGCATCAGACAGTTTTGCTTGCCTCTTAGTCATCATGAGGGCTTTTGAAATACTCTTTGTCTGACCCATTACCCAGAGACCTTTTTGCCAGACCCTACCAGAGGCATTTTAGCCCCTGACAACATAGCATATCTTTCAAGCACTTAAACCCCTACACCACTTTTAGATGGCAGTAATAAATGTAACAAACCCTTAGTTTTTTTTATTTAGTCTTATTGAACTTGTGGACTAAAACATGCAGAGCTTCAGCTTTTCACAACTAGGCGTTTTCTACCAGAGGCTTCCCAGGATGACTCAGGACACACTAGAGGGACTATGTCTCTTTTGTATTCTTTTCTGTTTTTCTTATTTTATTTCTATGTTATTACTTTATCTTGAAAGACACAGACTACATATTGACATGGCAACAGGATGGCCTATACATGATTTATGTGTCTTTAAAGACTTTGTCTGCTCTTTTTCTTTCCACCATAAAGAGTATTTGGACAAAAATCTTCCTACTTCTTCAAAGTGTTTTGATCAGTATTTTTTCATGATCTTCATGACCTGAATCCATCAGCATTTTTTAAACTCCCACGTGAGATTTTCCCAGGCCCATAAACGGACAAGTCCTTCTGTAAATTGTTTCTGCCACTCCTTTGCTGTGACTCACCTCCATGAGATGCTCCTCATTCTTTGCTATTTTTTGCTCCCACAGGGCCCCTTTATGGTTCCCTCATGAGGGCGTGGCAATGCTTTTTCACCTCCACCGAACGCCTGTCAGCCCTCCACTCCTCCATCTCAGCGTCGCTCACCACAGAGGAAAGAGAGCGGGTGAAGACCTGGCAGAAGGAGACCTTCCCCAAGAAACTCTTCTGTGGGTTCAAGGAGAGCTACGACAACAAAACCAGTTTCTCACGTGCACAGAAACCCTGGTCCAAAAAGCTGAAGAAGGTCCAGCACATGTGTGTCATCTGTGTTTGATTGTTTGTGCAGTTTAACAAAACAATAATTTTTTTAACCTCCTTTTGTATTATAGTCAGTAGCCAGATTGCAAAGGTTTCCAGGCACAGTTAGCATAGCTTATTGTAAACCAAGAATGTGGAACCTTTGGTTAAAGTTGACAAGAACAGGCTTACTTGTAGCAAAAGGTTTTACACCAAATTTGATGTCAATGTTATGTGGTTTTCAATGCTAAGCTGCTAATCAGGTTCTACTCAAAACATATCATTTAAAACCTAAGATTAAGCAAGAAATCAAACAAGAGGCTATTGATTTATGTCGGGTGTGGAACCTGAACGGCTCAGTGAGGGAACTGGGCTTCAGTGCTTAAGAGGCTGAAAGCGTCTGGCACAATCTTTTTTAATATTAGAAATGATAACTCCTTTAGAAGATCAAAACAAATTGAAGTCTAAATTGTGTAATTTGCTGTTGTTAGAATAACATTTCTGGAGTTTTTTCCTGGATTTAAAATGTTGGTAAAAGGACATCATACGTATATTGTGTTGATTCTAGTGGACTCTATTCAACTATATCTGAACCTGATCCTTACTGGGGTGTGTTGCAGATGCCAATCACCTGCTGGGTTACACGTCTCCAATTTACCAAGAGCGACACAGACACACATAGAACTCTCTATTGGTTATAATCCTGATCTTACGACCCTAGCTGAGGGTCGGAACATAGGCGTAAAATCGAAAGCTGTGCTTTTCAGCTTAGCTCTTTTTTAACCACAACAGACTGGAGTGGCACCTGAATCACCATACAGTAGATGAAGCCCCAATACTTCTGTCTATCTCCGGTTTCTTCTCACCCTCACCACACAGACATCAAGATGCTTTAACTCCTCCCTTTAAGTAAACACTGCTAAACTTATAGAAGAAATATTACATATTTGGCAACATTCAGTCAAGTTAGGTGACTGGCCATCTGCCCAGTTGGCCTCAGCAGATGGCCGCTCACACTGATCCTGGTTCTGCTGGAGGTTTCTTCCTGTTAAAAGGGACTTTTTATCTCCACTGTTGCTACAAGCATGCTTAGTGTGAGGGATTGCATTCAAGTCAATGAGTTGATGCAATCAACTGGTTTTCCTTAGGTAGAAAACTTTGAATCAATTTGACTGAATGATCTGGTTGAACTGTAAAGTGCCTTGAGATGACATGTGTTGTGAATTGAAACTGAATTGAATTGAGTTGAACTTTTCTATAAAGGAGCTAGAGGCAGGATAAAGAAGTAAAACTCAAAAGTAACAAGACTAAATAATTAAGTAGAAATTTTGACTATCTATACCTTACTTTCTATACTCCTTACATTTTTTGCAATTGTCTCTACTTTCTACACCTTCAATTTTAAAAATAGACACTTTGTTGTTGTTGTTTTATATGAGCTCATTTTCCTAGGTAGTACAAAAAAACATAAACATATTTTGTTTCATCCAGATGATTAATTTCTTTGTGCATGGAATCGGTACTGCACCAATTTGTTGTTTGCCACAAACCAAAATAAATATTTTTTCAAGATGATGCAAAGTTGAATTTAACACTGTCACCATTACTAAGAAAATTGAGTACAAGGAATTTATCCAGAATTGTAGATAAGTGTTCCTTTAGTAGGGTAATGCATTAAAGCATCTGTCTTTAACATTTTCTCCTGCATTACTTTTACTTTTATACTTTGAGTATAAAAGTAAAAGTAATGCAGGAGAAAATTTTACTTTTACACATTTACTTGAGTAAAAAGCTTAAGTTGATACTCTAACTTCAACAAGTGGATTTATATACAACTAGGATTTATATATCTACTTGAGTAATAAACATTAATACTTTTGACACCTGTAACTACAAGACCACCGTTAATATTTTATGACAGCAGCAAGCAACATGTCAAGTAAGCTTTCTATTGCTACTATTGAAACAACCACAACTTCTTGTATCAAAGCTGTCTGGGGCTTGCATGTGCAGGAAATTTGGACTCTCAATTGCAGCATATTATGCATCACGCAGCATATTCAACACTCTGTCACACATTAGCTTTAAAAAAAAGGACATGCATGTCTATTATTTCATAATTCCTGGCCCTAGTTCCTTTATTTTCAACAAATACTTGACTAAATTACACAATTTAGGGAATCTTTGATTTCTAATGTGAAAATAAACAATTTAATCAAAAAGTTTAAAGCTAGAAATTCTTGACTTGCACCAAAGAGATTTGACTATGGAGGCGTTATGTATATGTCATTCTGAAAACACCTCTTGCATCTGTCTTGCATTGAACAGCTGGAGAAAGTCCGTGTCGCATACCACAAGTCCTGCCAGAGGGAGCAAGCGGCCCTGGATAGGGAGAGGCAAGCAAACGACAATCCTGAGCTGAGCGAGGAGAAAAAGCTGAAGCTCGCAGAGGCCAAGGAAAGAGCTGCGGAGGAAAAAGGAAAAGTGAGGACAGACATCAACAAACAGCAGCTCTCCTGCCCACATGGAAGAAAATGAGTTTATTTTTATGATCGCTGATTGAAAATATATGTAATCGAAACAATGCAGCAGTTTGGTCGCTCATCTGCATGTGGTCATGTTTAATCCCATGGGAAAGTCTAAGCATGAAGCCCCAACTTAAGTTTTTTGCCTTGAGTATTTCCCTTGTATGGGGATTTGTTATTGTTACTGTGTTCCATGTTTATAGAGACCAGCCTGAGAACATTAGATCATTTATACTAATTAAAGCCATAGTTAGTGGAATACAGAAGGTCTTCCTGTGGCGAATAGGGAGCTGTTTATCATCTTCTTTGTTTGTTTGTTCGGCTCCAGGCTAGAGATCGATATGAAAAAGTTCTAGAGGATCTGACCTCCTATACACCCCGCTATATGGAGGAGATGGAGGCCATTTTTGATGAGTCCCAGGAGGAGGAGAGAAAGAGGATCAGCTTTTTAAAGCAAGTGTTCCTCTCCATCCACAGACATCTGGACATCACAAACAACGAGAGGTAAGCAAACATCTACATTTGCGTCTTTTTCTATAGACTGATATAAGTGAGTCGACTGTAGAGACTCTTCTTTGTCTTTGTGTCAGTGTAAAAGCAGTTTATAGCGAGCTCCATCAGACTTTGATGTCCATCGACGAGCAGGACGACCTCAAATGGTGGAAGAACAATCAAGGTCCTGGCATGCCGACAGATTGGCCAAAGATTCAGGTACCAACCTCAGTGAGATAATAAAAAGCAAAGAAACGCTTTACCTATTTATTTACTAAATTTCTAATTTTTCTAATGGGTTTTGTATTTAAACTCACAAAATAGTTCACATTTCACTATTTGGAACATTTAGCCATTTCCAGATGTTTGTTTTTTTTCTTAACCAAGTAGCATTGCTCATGTACCGCGACCTCCATTTGTATTATCTCTCCTGGTACTGATTGCTAAAAATCATTAGAACTATTCTACCTTTAATTTGGATTGCATTGTTCCTCATTAAATAAAGGGACAAGAATTTTATTTCAAGATTTAGCCAGTGGAAAGAAACACATTAAGATATTTTTTTATACAGCACAGTCACATTATAACTATGTAGAAGTTGCTGCCGCACGATGGCAGCCCACTGCTCCCGAAGGGGATGTGCTAAATGCAGAGGTAAATTCTTCAATGTGAGATCAATAAAGTTCAATTATTATTGTTAGGACGGCCTTACGTAAACATATCACCAGAATTATTTAAAACTAGGAGGACCACTTAGAGTGAGAGATTCAAATCAAGGTAACAGTTTGAATCCCGTGTAATAAGTGAAAGGAAGTTGGTATCTCGGCTACCGGTTGCAGCTGCAGCAATGTTTTACTAAGAAGGATGATTTTGATTCTTAGATAGTGACTTTGAGGGATTACTATGGGATGTCAATAGCTTAAACCAACCAGTTCATGTTAGCTTTGACCACATGGTTATCTCTCCAACTGAAAAAAGTAAATGTGACCTAAAAATGACATTCTCTCACTTATATTCTAGCTGTAACTTTACACTGACAAAATAATATAAATACTTCCTTTTCAACTTCATGTTTTTATGCTTTTTTATTTATGTATTCTAATTTATCACAATCATTATGCTGTAATTTATACCTTGAAAATATTTATTATTAAGACTTTGTTTACAATATGGTTTACCAGTGAAAACTTCTCCACCTGAAATCAAGGAGAACAAAACTCTCCAACGAGATTTGGTGCAATAATAAAGGATTTGACTCTATGAAGACAGGAATAAACTGATGTTAACTTAGTCATTACAAAGTAAAAAAAAAAAAAAAAGTTATAATAATATTTGATGTTACTGTTTATTTTATTATCTGAATAGCATACATTTTTCTATTTCTGTTTCTGGAGGAATAATTATTACATTTGACTATTTATGAAAATTGACTGCCTTAAGATTTTTTTTATTTTTTTATTATGAAATACTCCTGCAGTAATTTAAACAAGAGAGCAAAGAGTAAAGGTGTGAGTTTCCAACCTAAAGCAATGCAAGATTTCATTCTTAAAAGGCTTGAAATTTTATTTTGATATTGGAAAAAGTGACTTTTAAATATCTCAAACAGGCTTCTAAACTCTGATTGACTAGTCTTCCTATTCTACAAGCCCCACTCATGCTGCATCAGGAAAGTTACAATTACAGGGAGGGGCACATCCAGCCAGAAACAACTGAACCCTTCCTGGAAGGTTGTTCCTGATGGTTCTGACTTCTAAAGGTCAATACGCCCCTGCTTTAATTGACTGACATTTTTACTTTTGTTTCCCCTTTTGAAGAGAAGCTTGGAAAAATAAAACTTTGTGTCGCATCATTTTTAATCCTAAAGAAAATAGATTTATAGAATAACTTCTACAACTACTTTAATGAGAAATATAAATCATGAACGTGCAATCAATTAGTCAGTCTGTCAAAGCTCTTGATTTGGGATAGTTGTTTTCCTCCACTAAACAAATGTGCACAAACTAAAGTCTGTTTTTTTTCTTAATTATTTTATCCGATACAACTTTTTTGCAAGCAAACAGGATTTTATCATAAAGCTTTATTGAAAATCTTTACCAGGAGTGGTAACACTGGTGGCTGGCCCTGTGTCAGTAGAGCATATTTTGACATTTTTGACTGCATAAACTAACTTTATAGTTTTGTTCCTGATCATGTTTCTTTTCAACCAGGAATGGGTCCCACCAGTGAAAAAGCTAAAGAGAAAAAAAAGGAACCAGAAGGGAAAAGAAAGTCGTCCGTAAGCCTATATGAACGTGTCACTTTTAAGATGCTTCACTGAACATGTGATAAAATCTCAGAGGTAATTTTTTTTTTATGTGTATTTCCTGGTTGCAGTGTGATGATTGGCGGTGTGAAGGTGAGAGCTCTGTATGACTACGAGGGAGAGGAGGGTGATGAGCTGTCCTTTAAAGCAGGTGAAAAATAAAGAGTAAATCTGTGATACCATTAATGTGTTAAAGTAAACCTGCTAAACAAAAATTACAGTGATGACAGATCAGCTGATGATCCCATGAATGTTGCGTGTGAGAGGTCCCAAACTAGGAAAGACATGCTTATTTATGAAAGCAATTGATTAATGCAGATGATGGCGCTTTATGTTTAATAAGGACAAAATTAATACCGCCAAATTAAAAGAAAAACATTTTTACAATAGAAAATATTTGGTGCAAGATTTGGAAACTGTATTTTAATTAAGCGCACATGTCAGATCCCTCTTCTACAGACATTTACACATAATTAGGTGACAGCTAGGAGGGTACAAAAATAATCATACTATTTCTGTGATATTATTTTTGAAAATAACACAATGGACTGTGGACAATTACTTTTCACCTGACAAAAATTGGACGACAGTGACTTAGATGAATGATAATATGATGTCCCCCTTCCCAGGGCCTCGTCTACCTTTAAAAGATCTTAAAATTCAGTGTTGTTGACGGTCAAAGTCATCAATTTACTGCTTTCCTGGTTGTAGTAAAAGCATGTGGTCAAATTAAAGACTATTTACACTGTAAAATCAAATTAGTTATAATTACTTTATAAAAACATAAAAACCAGCTGCATTTACAAGAAAGGTTCAGCGAACTAGCTTTCATTTCATTTATAGTTCAATGTAGGGATTTGCGTTTATTGCATTAAGAAGTTTTTCTCACATAAAATTAAACTTTTCCTGCTGTACGTCACATTTACCATCATCTCCATGACATGATCCTGCCACCCTGGTACTTTATAGGTGATAAGCTGTTCAGAAGCTTGTGATGCCAGTCCCTTCTTCTTCCATTCCATGTTTTAGCTCAGTGATTGGCTACAGATTTAGGACAAGCAACATCTGCTGTGGATTCACCCTTAATTGCCTTTACTGATGAAAGTTAGGGTTCAACACTACTAACATGTTCAGTCAGTAATGTTGACCTGCTGCTATAGCACTAATAAAAACAAAACAGATGGACATGTGTGTGTGTGTTTTATCCAAGAGGTGAACATGAGCAAAAAGTACAATTTTTATGGGTTTTTTGCTGCATAGCCTCGATCTCCAAGTGAGGCCCATTCTGCACGTCCGCTCTTGGTCACATCAGCCAGCTGGTTTTCTCCTGATAAACCCTGCGGCACATATATCCAGATCAAATTAAACGTATTTCCTACTCCAAGAGTGGCGGATCAAACTTCTGTTCAGCTTATATTAGCTTTATTTCATATATCCATTACTGTAAAATGTCCACAGCTGTATATTGATTATTTATTCTTTCCAGATGCACAGTATTCGTATTGTAAAAAACATAATACAGTACAGCTTTTTGTTTGTTTATTTAACTATGTCCTTTATTCTGTTTTTTTTATACACTTTTTTTAAGGTCCACATTGTGTGACCACTTTTGCTATATATTTTCGCTGCTGTAACACCACAATTTCCCCATTGTGGGACAATAAAGGGATTTTTTTATTCTATTCTTTTTTTATCTATAATCAATGCAGTTCACAGTGTCAGGTACATAGAATAAGAAGCATTAGATTGTGGAAGCAGGCCGGTAGAAACTTCTTTGTTTTTAGATGGAGTGAATAAATTGGATTAAAGACGAGGTGTGATGAGAAAATACTGCAAATCAACACTTTACTTATCAAGTAGTTGTTTTTTTTCGATGTGTAACCTGACTGAGCTCTATGCTTCTTTCTTTTCTTCAGGTGAGATCTTCCTAAAGGTGGAGGAGGAAGACGATCAAGGGTGGTGTCGAGGCGTGCTGAGCGGAGGGAAGGAGGGCTTCTACCCTGCAAACTATGTAGAAGTTGTTGAGTGACGTCCCAGCAGACGTCGAGTTATGATCTGATTTTTTTTCTCAAAACTTGTTTTTTATGCTTATTAAAGCAGCACATTGTTAATGTATCTGTTAAAGGTTTTCATGTCAGATGAAGATCCACAACCAGCTGATTTAACCACGATGCCTTAATAACCTAACCTACTGTAGCAGGGGGTTTGTTTTTTTTTACCTTTCAGGATCTAGGGTGTACGGTTTGAGTTGTATGTGTACATGCACAAATGTGTATCTGCATGTTGTGTGCTTTTAAAGAAAATTAATAATTTAAAAAGTATTTATTTTCTGCCACTATATATAAGTTATTATAGCACAGTAGTGAAGTTAAGGCTGACAGTATGAACAAGAAGAAGCAAGTTTACAATGCTCTGTGCATGCAGTGTGAATGTTTACCTTATATGTATTCTAAACACATCATCTTTAACAAGTTGAATTTCACAATAAAACTATTTTTTGCTCACAATATCTTAGTACATGGCATATGATGAACATATGAATAGAAATGAAAGAAAACAAATCTTTAGCATCATCTTTATTCATTTTATTGCCAAATAAACACATTGTCAGATTTAAAGGTTCAAACACCTTTTGTTTTGCATTTTCATTTTTTACAAACAGAAAAAAATCTGTAAAATTGTGGTATAAATATGTGTCCAGGTCTTTCGAGTCAATTTTTTGATAGAACCACTCTCTATAATATTTACAGCTGCAGGTCTTTTTATAATATTAAGCTTGTTTTGTTGGAAGGTAAACCTAATCCTCAGTCATAGTCAATCGTTTTATTGGTTTTATTAGTTTTAATTTCTATAATTTTATGCCTAAACAATGAATTTCATTACCGTATCACATGTTCACAACATACAGATAAGCATTTATGTAAACCAAATATAATAAATCAAGCATATAAGTAAAAGTATATGAATATATTTTTAATGTAAAGCTATATTCTAGAAGAAATGGAAGGAATCTGAAGGGCTATATGACTGAATTCACTAATTTGATTGTTTTGTAATGGAGAAGGGATTCTTCTAAAGCTAGTTACTCTTTATTTTCTTGGTAACTACCCATTAGTTTCTGATTAGTTACACGATAACAATAAAAAATTTTATTAGCCACATAAAATAATGCTCTTGAATATAAATGAAATGTAGAGGTAGATAAGGTTGGTGGTTAGGAGCAGTTTCAAGTATCAGCCAATCACAGATCTCCCAAAATTAAGGAAAGTAGGGCTGAATAATCGGTGAGCCCCTACTTTTTAA